GGCCTGGGAGTGGGGAGGAGGCACCTGTCCCAGGTGGGAAGAGAAGGAGCTAGCTTGCCGCACAGCTGGGCCGAGGTGTCCTTCCTGGCCGAGACCCCTCAGCTGGAGGGAGAGAGGTGGCCGGCAGACACCTTCTGCCTTTGAGGGGACTCAGCCTGGCCCGGGCAGGGCCAGTGGGATCCTCTCTCTGCTTGGAGAAGTTTTCCAGTTCTCAGGTCTCCTTGGAGTTCATCCTAGGACCCCTGCTAAAGGGATTCAGAGTCATCTTCCTAGGCAACGAGGTTTGGGAGGGGCCTCGAGGGTGTTGAGAGGGAGAGGGGACTCCCAGGGCTGCTGGCTGAGGCCCCCAAGCCTTTTGACTGAGGATGGCAAGCACAGGGTGGGTGAGAGGATTGACCCCCAACCGGCTCTGTTGCTCAGTCTCTGCTCATCCTGCGTTCAGCTGTCTCAATGCCTCTGCCCCTCCACCCCATGTCCTCCTTCCCTCCCTCCCTCGACCTCCCCTCACCCCAGCAGCCCGCTTGCTCACACCGGGCCCCTTGCCTGGGCAGACTGGGTTAAGGGGCCACAGTCCTCCACAGGCCAGCTCAGGCCAGGAGACGGGCATCCAGCAGCAGGCCGCCCACTCATTGCTACTGCTGCTAACCACAGGGACACGAGGCCCGCAGAGGAAAGCCCACCACACAGTGGTCACAGCGGTCCTTACCTAGCTTGGTCGCTTTTTGGGATGAAGACCCACAGGAGCTACTCAGTGACCAGGGAAGAGGGATGGGTGGGCGGCCTCCTTCTAGGTGGAGGCCAGGGACCCCCCAGCCACACCCCTCAGAGATCTTTAACCTGGGTCAAGACCGACACCCGAGGTCCAGGCTGTCACTGCCAGCTAGGACTGTGCTTTTCAAAGGTGCATTTCGAAATCCGTTCAATGAGTCACTACCAATAATTTTGTAAAGTAAAATAGAACAGAAGCTCTCAGAGCAGTGTTCTCAGGACATTTGTGGATTTAGACATAACTACAGAGTGACAGAAAACTGAGCTTACATGGGTCATATTTTCACATGTAAAAACCCATACTTAGGGTCCAGTCACACCCTGTACCTACCTCACTGTTCGAATGTGCAAATCTGGGCAGCTGTGCCCAGAGGGCAGCTGTGGGAAAAGCCTTGCTACCCAGTGGGCTGTCTGGCTCTCCCTTGAATGCCCCAGTTGCCTGACTTTCTGAGGGCCAGGTGGTCCTGGTGGCCCTCTTCTTACCAGGATGTTACCCCATGAGAGACCTGATGTGCTGGGGTCTGGGCCCCCTGCTCTCTCTCTCTTTTTAAGTAAACATCTCCTCAGGCGCGGTCGCTCACGCCTGTAATCTCAGCACTTTGGGAGGCCGAGGCAGGAAGATTGCTTGAGCCCAGGAGTTCAAGACCATCCTGGGCACACACAACAAAATCTCATCTCTTCAAAAAAATTAGCTGGGTGTGGTGGGGCACACCTGTAATCCCAGCTACTTGGGGGGGTTGGGGCAGAAGGATCGCTTGAGTCCAGGAAATGGAGACTGTGGTGAGCTGTGATCATGCCACTGCACTTCAGTCTGAGTGACAGAGTGCTACCCTGACTCAAAATAAATACATAAATAAATGTCTCCTATGGCTGCCCAGGGACTCCCTGAAGCCAGAGAATCCTTAAAACTCTCTTCTCCTGGGATCTGGGCTACAGAATGAATAAGAAAGCAAGCAAACTCCAAAGAGCACTAGGAAGCCATTTAAACCCCTTGCAGAAGCACGTGGTCAGCAGCACCTGGTATAGCTGTCCTTTCCCTTCCTGCCTTGGGGTCAGCCTATTCTGTGTTGATGTCTGGGGCATTGGAAGTGACTGAGGCTCAGAGAGAGAGCCTTGAAAAAGGTGACTTTTTCCTGTAGAATGGCCTCTTGGAAAGCAGAAGGGGGGACCCGAGATGCTGGGTTCTCTGGGCACCCCAGGGCTCTCTCTCTGGAACTGCCTTGGACTTTGTCTCTTAGGCTGTGCCCCCTGCTCCCTCCCCAGGGTGGGCAGAAACCTACTGTGTTGATCTTATAATCAAGTTTAGGAAGGAGAAGTTGTGGTCGGGAGCTTGGGGATGGGAAACCTTCCTGACTCCTGGTCTTCCACATCCCAGAACACTGGCCATCTCCTCTTGGCCTGTCAGTACCTGCCCCACTGCTGGGTCCCAAGTACCTTGCAGTGACTTTAATTTGCACCTCCCTGATGGCCAATGGCCACGAGCATCTTTTCGTGAGCTTATCACGCGTGTCTATTCTTACCTGCATGTCTAACATAGAGACTCGTCTGTCCACAGCCCTTGCCCATTTAAAATATATATGTTTTAGCTGGGCTCGGTGGCTCAGCCTGTAATCCCACACCTTTGGGAGGCTGTGAGTGGATTGCCTGAGCCCGCGGGTTCGAGACCCGCCTGGGCAACTTGGCAAGACCTCATCTCTACAATAAATCA